ACAGACACACACACAGACACACACACAACGTGCTGCAGACGCTTTGGCCCCAACGGCCTTCCAGCGACTCCCTTCAGATTCAACACGCATGATCACGTTGATCAAATTTGCTTAAACTAAAGAATCCTAAAGAATTACTGTATTTCACAAGGATTCTGACACAACAACCCAAAGCATACGATTTCGTTGCGTTTAATGAGGAAACACGCTAAACTATGAGGGCTCATGCTGAAAGGCAGAGTAATGCCCTGTCTTTGACAGCTCGCGACTTCACCAGAGACTTTCTGAGTACATTCACATAAGACTACAATACTCCGATTTTAATATGATTAAGATTATACTCTTATTAAAATTCTACCGTGTAGCCAAAGCAGTGATTTTATTACCTTAAAGGAACACCGAGTCACGAAATGGAGGATTTTCTTTCTGTCTGCCATGCGGAATCAACTTACAACAGAAGTTGAAAGTTAAAAATGAAACACCCGAAATTGCATGAAACTTTGGAGAGCCTGGTGATGCGACTAATTGTTTTATACTGAAATTTGCCTTCAAACAGTGCTTCCACCACAACAGGATGTAAAAAAACCTGCAACTGCGTTAAATATTTTTTTTTTACGCGTTAATTATTTGAAATTAATCACATGCGTTAACGCACTATAATTGTCAGACAATAATAATTGTCTGCTCCAGTTAACCTACGGTGTCTTCTTCTCTTCTTATTGTGGTTCCCTCCTGGTTGTGTGTTTCCCGAACCCATCTATGTTCTTTGTAACCATCAATCTCCTGTCCATTAAATTACATATCAATGATCATTATCTATAAGAGAAAATACTTTACCTGTTTGCCATATATCCTCTTTTTCAACTATCTACAATAAACTGTTACATTTACTCACTCAGTTCTGGTCTCAGTCCAGTTCTGAGACACAAGGCTGGACAGACAGAGGAGTGCAACAGGTTTCGCATATTCGCTTTCAAGATATCTCTGCTTTCAGGAAAGGCACTGTGTTGGGCTGAAATCTTGAGAACTCAGGAAGGAGCAATAACATAATCCATCAAACTGTTTACTGAACATTTTAACGCTTTTTGTTTTTGGCCTATCGGTTGAAGAGGCTACTGCTGGTTAACAGTTATATAATCTGAAACAAGGTAAAATGTCAATCCAAGAATATTCTTTAAAATGTTTTACCCTCACAACAGCCACCCTTTGGGATGAAAGAGCCACCTATCATCAGAGGTTGGAACCCTGTCCGAGAATGCAGTTATCAGCCTATGATGATATATTTGGTCTGGAAAACTTCATCCAGTTGTCTATTTGTGGTTCAGCATGTATGGAAGCCTGTAGCCTGTTTCCTTAACCGCTCCAGACCCTAACCCCGAACTCATGATTCTTGACCAAGGAAAACTTACCGTCGCAGAGACGGATTTCAGCTGAATCGGAGTCTAGGTTCATACTGTGAAAGAGTAAGGCATTTCCGAGCTACATGACTCATTTGTCTAACATGTCAACAGTGTTAACCCCGCTATTCATGCTATGCAAAAAAAAAAAAAAAAAAATGCTAACTCTAACAACTGTTGTGACACTTACTGCACCTAACATCTTTCTTCTAGTGGTCGCACTCCTTGACTCCGGTTCAGCAATTTCATCTCTGGAGCTCTCTGCCATCAGCTCTGCTGTAAGACCCGGTCCTCTGAGAAAAGTTATAATGTACAGTCCATCATCAGAAAGCCCTTAAATCGTCATCACATCAATCGTGTTGTGAATTCTGTTCAACTAAGAGTGGGTCTTTTCCATGAGGAGAAGATTGAACTTTTGTTCTCAGAGGGGTCCCCGTGGACATCATCCTAGGGCAGCCGTGGTTGGTCAAGCATAATCCTGTGCTCTCTTGGGGTACTGAAGAAAAACTGGAATTGGGAAAAGACTGTTTTTTTTTCTAAATGTATTCCAAAATGTCCTTTCAAGAACATTTTTAATCCTATGTCTGTGTTTACAATTGCCATAGAGTCCGGTTGAGCAGTGTTCCGAGAAGATTCCTCACCGCTACAAATATTTTCAAGACATTTTCTGCCCCAAGAGAGCCACTCAATTACCCCGTCACAGGCCATGGGACTGTGCGATCGACCTGAACAAAGATGAGCCAGTGCCCCAAGGACATGTCTGACTCTTATCCATTCCCGAAAGGAAGGCCATGGAGTAATATGTAGAAGAGGCCCTAGTTCAAGGTTACATCCCCTGCCCTGCCCATCTTCTTCTTCGTGGCCAAGAAAGATGGGGGACTCTGACCTTGCATCAATTTTTGAGCTCTCAATAACATCACGATTAAAAATCATTACTTACTTCTCCTCATCCTGGCTGCACTTAAACATCTTCGTGGGGCTTGTATATCCACTAAACATTTCCTCAGAAGTGCTTACACCTTTATCAGAATCCTAGAGGGTGAAAAATGGAAGCCTTTATCACCCCGAGTGGCCAGTATGAACATAGGGTGATGCCATATGGATTAGCTAATGTCTTCCAAGACTTCCTGAATGAGGTACTTTGTGACTTCCCATTCAAGTCAGTTCTTGTTTACATCAATAACATCTTTATCTTTTCCAGAAATCTAGCAAAACAAAAACAGCATGTGAGAGAAGTCTAGTCTCATCTCCGTAAGCATAATCTGTTCTTGAAAGCTGAAAAATGTGTGTTTCATCAGGAAACTATCCACTTCCTCATGTTTTTTGTTTCTGCAGCTGGGGTCAAGATGGACAAGGGGAAGGTGGAAGGCATTTTTTCTTGGCCACAGCCTAAATCTAACATGGAACTCTAGTGTTTCCTTCGGGTTTTTCAACTTTTACAGAAAGTTTATCAAGGACTACAGTAGAATCACTTGTCAGCTCACCGGCCTACCCCGTGGCAAAGTCATTAGTTTGGACAGAAGAAGCTATGACTTCCTTCCAAAGCCTCAAGACGGCATTTACCCAGGCACCCCTCCTAGTCCACCCCAATCCTGATCTCCCATTTACTGTTGAGGTGGACACATCCACCACCGGAGTAAGAGCCATTCTATCCTAGTGGGAGGGGGTGCCATTCCGACTACATTCATGTGCCTTGTTTCCCCGCAAGTTCAGCCCGGTGGAGTCCAATTATGGTGTTGGAAACCATGATCTCCTAACTGTCAAGCTTGTCCACAAAGAGTGGAGGCATTGGTTGGAGGGGTCTAAACATCCATTCATTGTGTTCGCCAATCATAAGAATCTCCAGTACCTACATAAAGCTCAGCAATTAAATTCATGACAAGCAAGGTAGGCATTGTACTTTACGAGATTTAACTTTACCATCTCATGTCTCCTTGTTTGTAAGAACAACAAAGCAGATATCCTTTTTAGGCTACATAGCCCCAAAGAGACCTCAAATGAACCCGAGCCAATCATCCCTTCAAGTCTGATTGTGAGTACCATAGAATGGGAGACACCTCCAACTTCTCAGCTTGCTTACGGACAAAGCTGTAAATGTGAACACAGTAAAAAAATCAGGAGTATGAAACACTGCATACGCGGAATCCCAGGCATATTCTCTTTGTACATCCGAATTAATATGAAATTGAGCGCAACATGCACGAGCGCAAAACCACTCCCTGCCTCCTCCCCCGTAAAAATATGGCAATGACTTCACTTTGGCAAAACAAAATGAAAAAGCATTGGCAAAAGCAAGCAAGTTTGTCCTCCGGAAATTATAATAAAAGAAAAAAAAATGTGGAGAGTGGGAAAGTTTAGCTGTCAGTTTGTGGGTTGTTGAGGGGAGTTAACAGCCACGTCTTTAATGGACAACCACAGTCTCCTGATATGCAGTTAAATTACGCTCAATAAAATAAAAATAAAAACTTGAATAAAACAAACAAACAAAAAAAGCTGGAATAACATTTTTAAATACATCGCTCACCAAGAAGCCACCCATCCATCGCTCACCAAGAAGTCACCCATCCATCGCTCACCCTGCCACCTTGGAGCCTCCTTGCTGTCTCTCTTTCCAAATGAATAACCAACTTAGCACAGAACTCCAAGAGGATAGCTCTTGGAAATCTGAAACGGCTAATAAGCCAGTCATCATCATGGACCAGAAAATCACTGTGATGCCTAAAAAATGCATTCCCTTCGAATTCGACCATTGACAATGGCCTCTAATAAGGACAACACTGCCATTATCAAGGACTAAGGGTTGTATACATTTGCAAATGCTTTTAAATGTTCTAAATCACATAATAGGTAAAAATATATATATTGTGCCAATTAACCCATTTTATTCATTATAAATTAATAGCAATCTAGAAGTCGCCAATAGAAATTAAACAAACACACACAAGAAACAAATGTACGCTAGACATGAAGTCCAACGCACATTCTCATTTTATCGTTAGTAAATCCAAACGCGAGCGTGAAACCTGGCGTTCAAAAAGTTGTTGTGAGTACACAGCGTTGATACATGAGGCCCCTGGTCTTTAGTTCCTTCCACAGTCAGAACATATACCCCACATCAAATTTGTACACTCCTCTCTGGGCACTGGCCACCCTGGGGCCAACAAGACCTTCTCGCTACTGAGAGACCATTTCTGGCCATTTTATCGCAACCTACCAGTACACAATTGAAAGTGCATTTGCATGCTCCTTTTGTTCCTTTTGATCGTTTAGATGTTACTCTACAAATTTGAGTTTTGACTGTTTTCAGAAGATAAGTTCCACCAATGCATGAAAAAAATAAGAATATTATACTGGCATGAAGTAATTAAATGGCACTTTTTAACTGTCAAGTAAATTTTTTAATATTTTAACAATAAACAACAAAGTAAACATCAGTGAATCATGGTTATTTATCACGGTCTCTAATTAATCAATTACTTCACAATAAAACAAATTACGTGACAGGTCAGGGCATTTAAACAGTTTTGTTTAGCATGGGATTATTGTCAAGATGCATTTGTTAAAACCATCTAGTACATTTATTGACATTGAAAAGTAACTTACTTCAGTTCAGCAGTATACTTAAATGGATGATTATTAGTTGTTTGTGGTGGATCCCACTCCAAAACTAATCCCAGGTTTATAGAGATTACTCTCACATTCTCCGGGACTGGCACATTTTCTGACAACACTAAAACACACAAACATAATATTTAACCACATGTCTAGTACAAAATGTTTACCAAAATCAGCCAATGATATGCCTTAAAATGCTATGTGTTTATTATTACATGCAGGGCTGCCAATTTTTGTTTTTAGCTTGGAGAATCACTCCCCTGTCCCCATTTTGTGTCGGTATCATAAGAGAGGACTAACAAAAGAGCAGTGGGATTGGGGTGGTGGGTGTAAATCATAAGAGGGTAATCAGTGAGAGTGGATTCTTGGCGTGAGAATACTGCCAGTTGAGTCTCAAGCCCAATGAAAGATAATTGGCAGCCCTGTTGCATAGCTGTCTGATATACTTGATTCTTCCTGAGGATTCACTAATAAAATGTTAAAACTCAAGTCAATATGTATTGCAAATATTTACAGTGATGAGAGAAATGCTGAAAAAAAGACTCGGAATTAATGGTAACACTACGGGTATCATTATCGTCAGTTTTGTTTAAGTTACTCATTCATTCATTGTCTTTCGGCTTAGTCCCTTTATTAATCAGGGGTTGCCACAGCGGAATGAACCACCAACTTATCCATTATATGTTTTATGCAGCATAGGTTTAATGCCCTTCTAGCTGCAACCCATCACTGGGAAACACCCATACACTCTGATTCACACATATTCACCAATTCACCTATAGCACATATCTTTGGACTGTGGGGAAAAACCAGAGCATCCGGAAGAAACCCACGTGAACACGGGGAGAACATGTTAACTCCAAACAAAATACTTCAAATACTATCAAAATACTTTGTCAACATTTAAAATACTGTAAAACTTACTTTGGAAGAAGTCTACATGATGACATCATAAAAATCCAGTATCTGATTGATACCTGAAGGTGTTTATATAAAATTTTGTTAATAAGATTAAGAAAATATGTTTTCTTTTTATGTAAAGCCCCCATTCCATAATCAACAAAACCAAACCAAACATTCTCCCACAGCAAGGAAAATTCCCCATCAACATTCTCAATTATAAAAAGTGAGAAGTCCTTTCAAAGCAAACTAGAGTAACGGCATTGCCAAAATAAGTGAACCAGGGACTCAAATGCAGTATTACTTTGAAACAGATTCTAACTCTTTTACAAAAAAAGGCTTTAAAAACAACTGAAATTTGTAAATTATATAATCTTTTTCTTTAATGTGTAACGTATCTACCCCTCCAGTTTTTTTTTTCTCTGTTGTAGTTTCTTTTTTCAAAAATGTGGTTCTTTTTGTCTCTTCAATTTCTTGTTGATATACGAAAATGAGAATATACAATCACAGTATATTCTCATATTCGTAAAAAAAAAAAAAAAAAAAAACTTCCAAGTTATTTGCCTAAGCTTGAGATCAGAACAGAAAAATTGATTAAGATGGATGGATGGAAACTGTGCAACACACATAAAGAAAGTAACAGACAAATATATGGGTACTTTTACTTTTAAATATATGGGGAGCAAGTTAACAATCATTGAAAATAGCATGCTGCACAATGCTAAAACCAGTCAAATTTAATGGCAGTATAGTGTACAATGCAAAAGCATCTTTCCTTAAGAAATTAGTTGGAATAAAATATCAGTCCTCTCAGTGCAACAATACAGTATATGAGACACTAATATTTAATAATACCTCAGTGTGTACAGACTGGTCAAAAAATCCAGACTCCTGTTACATGGTGATAGTAGGATATATAAAAAGAGTTTATTTGCAAAAAGAGAATTAATTTTTTTAGAGATATCATGTTCAATATTAATTGAAGAGTACAACTGAAAAAAAAAACATGATTTATGAAAATTACTAAAACTGGAGATTTTAATCATGTTTTTACATTAAGTATTGAAGACTTCAATTGCAAAAAAAAAAAAAAAAAAAAAACTTACAGATACAGAACTATATTCCAACTCATTATAACTGCATTAGATGGTTTTTACAGTGGTAAAGAAATCATCTTTAACACAGGAATTTCTGTATTAAATTTGTACAAAATTTATGCCAAAATGAATGAGAAAGTCAGATATATGGTGAAGGGATTAATCAAATATGCCCATTGATAGAGGGTTTGCAAAGAAATGTCAATGTCAAAATACAAAATACAGCATTTTATTTTGATACATTTGGGGCTGCTGTTTTGTAGTAAGAATGGTCAAAATAACTAATTAACTGCTAACTGAAAGGGTGCATTTGTAACCGATTAATGTTATCAATTGACTGATTAAAAAATATTATTTAATATATAATATTACTTAATACTTAATATAAGTTTGGCTGCATAAGGGGCCGATCACAGCGAACATGCTTTTTGTGTTGAGAGGCGAATCTTTTGAATGGTTTACTAACAGCCGTGAGTGTTTTGCGTGCTGCTTATGCGCCCTGAAAGAAGGATATTGCTGGTTACAGTTTGACACAAACGAGTTGATGCTAAACCAGCACTTATGCTGATAGCCTCTGTCCTGGATCTGTCATAAACTCAACAAACAGGCTACTATTAATTTAGTGTACAACCAACAAACCAACCTTTTTCCATTAAAAAAAGTACAGTTATTATTAATTCTTATAAAAAAAAAAAAAAAAAATATATATATATATATATATATATATATATATATATATATATATATATATATATATATATATTATTTTTTATTTTTTATTTTTTTTTAAATAGCAATCATAGCCTAATCTATGAATCAAACAAATCCAAAGATTTTCTTGATTTTTGCATAATGATTAACTCTGCACTAGGCATGTGCATAATTGTTCAATTAATCGATTACTCGAACGCATCAGCTATGATCGAGCATGAAAACGATGATCGATTGGCTCTAAAATAAAATGAATTTCATTCTTTCTGATTGGTTATGCTGGTATTTGGGCAGTAGTTTGATATTAGATTGGTTATGGCTGCATGGAGTTGCGGTCCAGAGACGAGACCTGAGAGCACAGATTACAGAGGGTCACACACCACAAGCGCTGCGTCGCGCCCCGGCCCACGCAGTGCCATGCATTTCAGAATTCTTTTTCAGTTTCTATCAGGGTACACAGCGGTGCCAAGCCACAACTCAGGACACTGTTTATATTTCTGCCGCACCACAGAGCGCCATATGAATAGTTTCATTTTAAATACCATGCGAATCTGCGCGTCTGGTGTGTGATACTTTCAGCTGCCATGTGTGCGTCATGTCTCAACACTCTTTTCGGCGAGGACTACGGTATGAGTGATGTTTCACCTGATGACACCAAAATCGAAAGCTTCTTCAGGTAGCCATGCATTTCTCTAAACCCGGATCCTTTATTGTGGTGCAAAGTAAATGAGTCTCAATTTGCAAGGCTAAGCATCCTAAAAAATATTCAGGCTTTTTTTTTTTATTCATTTTTTATTTTAAGTTTACGCAGCCAAATTATGCTGGCTTCTAATACTAATCTGGCTATGTGCTACTTAACAGTCGTAAGGTGAAGTTTTGGTAAAACTTATTTTTACAAAAAAATCTGTTGTGAGTAAAATATTGTTTTGGTAAAAATGTCAGTTGAATAAAATAACTAAAATCCAGAGTATAATGTGTGTTTTTTATTGTTGTTGTCTGCAATATAGAAAAAGGTAGGTTATAGTTTTTAAAAACTGATCCAAAATATGTATAGAAATAACAAGACACATATTGAAGTTGATAATACTGTAAAATAACTTTTTCTTTTTTTCTGCGGGGCTTCAGTTGCCGTCATTTTAAAGAGCCCTGTAACGGGAGAACCGCATCCACTACTTTCTGGTTGGCATGTAGTTCAAGCTCTCATGCATTTTGTCTAGATAAACACAATCTGTAATACAACATTTTCATATTGTGTCTCTAGGCTTTATGATTATTTTATTTACAATGCATCATGTAGAAAACCTACATGTCTCACCACATTATTAATAATATTAGACAATTTTTATTCTAAATATATAATAACAGAAATCAATCCTACATGTAACTGGAAAAAATGCAAAGACACAACTAGTGATATGTTAAGATGTCTTAGAACGTGTTAGAAATGTCTTAAGAAATCTTTGCTTGAATTTGAAAGACAATTCTATAGAATACAAAAAAAAATATTTTATGTAATTATCTGTTTACTTAGACCCGACTCATGGCTGAGAATTAATGTTATTATAACTTTTGTTTTGTCGACTTGCAAAGCTCGCAGCGTGCCGACACCTCTGAATAAAAGTTACTCTGGTTTCACAGTACATGAGCGGCGTGTATTTTATTGACGTGCATGTAGTGGAGAGCAGGGCACAAAGTAACACTTTTTTTTTTTGGTCAATTAAGGAACAAAGTAATGGGGTTAGACAAGCCATATTTTTTACCAGTAACACACAAGCCTCTTCTACAAATGAGCACTGGAATTATGACCGCCGCACTTAAGGTTTCTGTGCAGTATTGCCTAAAGCGCCAGGAGTAAAAATGTTACTATTTACCCCCGCCTGCGGGGCAAGTTGTAACAGACATTGAGTTAGTTGTAACACATGCTTAAAAAGGCAGATTTAACACAGTTAATTTAAATTCAGTTTACTTTAAATAGTGGCTATATTTCCTCAGTATTTGGCTCATTTCTTTTTTAATCTACATAGCACAGTATGTTTAAGTATTTAGGCCTATTTATTTATTGGATAAATTTGAAACTATTTGCATTATTATTAATAAAATATTTTTGCTATTAAAACAATATTTTCTATTAAAAATATTTTTATTTAAAAAGTACTCAACATTACACTCAAAATTTAAAAAAATATTTTGTTGGTTTAATTGGTTTCCAACAATGTGTGGCTTAATTGCCACACCTTGTTACAACTAGCCTGAGTCGTGTTTTTCTCAAAACTGGCTAGCAGTCACTGTGTGTGTTTTTTCAGCTTTCAAAATGGTTTCATCTTTTAGCCTAGAAGACGGTGATCACAACAATAGCTGTACTTCATTTAACAGATGTTTTAAAAAAATGACTGTAATAAAAAATACT